TATCCATCTAAGAATTACGATAAACATTATTATGGGTTTGTTTAAGTTTGATTTGATTATTACACTAAATTTTGTTTAGCTGTATTGAAAGACTGTATTGTTTAAAAATGTTTAAAGAGACAGAGAGAGAGAGAGAGAAGGAGGAGGAGGAGAAGGAAGAAGAAGAAAAAGAAGAAGAAATAAATAAAGAAATACTCTACAATATCCTAACAATCAGAAGAGAAATTATTTTTCTATATATAGCTCCCCCTCTCACAGATTTCGTTGTTTTCTTTTTTGTTTTGAAAAGGGTGATGAAATAATACCCTATATATACAAGGGTATATAAAAAAATATTGCTACCCACTTTACATATACACTGGTTTATTGTAAACAAAGTGTCTCTTATAAAGCAATCAGTGGATGGCTGCAGACAAATTCAGTAACATACTTGTCTTTGTGGTTGTTGTTAAATGTCATTGTGTTAGTTCCTACTCATGGAGACCCTATATACGGTTTCCAAGGAGTCTGAAGTGCCTTAAAATTAACTGGGTCCAAACAAAATAGTGGCTTCCAAGGAGATCTGCTGGATCAATTAAATTCAAAGTAGAGAGGTCAGTTCAGAAGGTCACAGCAACTGCTTGGTGGGATATCCAAGGGTAATCTTGAAAGAATTTTCCAGAGTACACAGAACAATCACAGGTGCTTATTAAGAAGAGTTTAATTAAAACTGAATACTACAGGACAGTTGTGTGAGAAATTTTTTCTATCACAACAATGCACCTACTCATTCTTCATGGATAACCAAGGCTGTCTTATGTAACCAAACCTCATCCACCCTACAGCCTGATCATGCCCATTCAGACTTCTTTTTGCTTCCCAAACTCAAAGAACAGAGTTTGAGTCCTCTAAAGATGCTAAAACTGCCATTTTGACATGGTGTTAATAAAGAGCACAGACTTCTTTGAGTAAGAGTTAGAGAGATGGAAACACTGCCTTTAGAAGTGTATAGACTTCGATGTAACTTCGCATTTTGATATTTTCATCTGATAAATGATTTTGTAGTAATGTTTGCTTTTCGACGATCATTATACTTTAATAATTGCAAAATATGAAGTTAAGTAATAACGCTTCTTCCCTGCAAACCTTCCACCAATTTATTAAACACATATATTCTTTAGGGTGTCTCTGGGAAGGAAATACAACGAAATCTGTGAGAGCCAGACTTGACAGAACTGTTTTGCTTTGATTGGGTTTATAAGCTTTCTGTCTTTGACAGGTGTTACCACTTTTCTATCATTCATTTTAGTGGAGAATAGTCTAGTTTTTCTTTTTGCCAGTTTCACCTATTTCTTCCAACTATCACAGGTTCTAGTGTATATGAATAAGTAAAGGATGAAAGTTTGTACTCTTTTCATGTATCTTTAAAGATCTAGGGCACTCCTTGGATGAATACATATCACTCAACAACAACTAAATAAAAAAAAATCTTAAATAGCTAAGTTTCATAGAATTATATCATTTATATGTAGAGTTGTTTTAAAGGTTAATAGGGACTCTTACTTGAGGCAAGGAATACTGTCTTTTGTTATTCCTTCACTAGCCACAGTGTTAGTGCTCCCGGACAGACTCCTTGAGGGAAGCTGGGATGAGAGATCTGGGAACGGAGGACTTGTTTCTGGTTCAGGGGTAATAATATCTTCAATATCATATTGAAGCCGGACTTCTAATGACTGAAAAAGATCAAGTTTTAAATTAATCTAAGTCATTATTATAAATCAACACATGAGAATATCTGAAAAAAATTACAGTACCTCATAACAAGATTTTTTTTTCAGATTAATAAAGTCATTTTGTAATCAAGTTGAGACCTACCACAAACTGAATTAAATAGTGAATTATATGGAACGTCAATCATAAAAAAGTATATACTTTTTCAAAATTATACTAAAAATGTAAGTGGAGCAAGTTTTCATATAATTAATAGTTTTTAAGAAAAAATACAAATTATATTTATATAATTCTTTATATGACCAATTTCAGGTAAGAAACAGTAGGGTTACTCCAGTGAAATAAACTAAGCTGCATGTAACTGTGTTTTATGTAAAGTTAGCATGTGAATATATACAAGTCTAAATTACTTTGACAGCAGTTGGCTGGATGATTGGTTTATATACATACGCACATTCTACTATTTGTTGTTGTTAAGTACCCTGGAGTCGGTTCAGACTCATGTGACCCTGCACAGGTTTTCTGAGGCTGTAAATCTTTATGGGAGCAGAACGCCTCATCTTTCTTCCATGGAACCACTGGTAGTTTCAAACTGCCAACTTTCAGGTCAGTAGCCCGATTCATAACCACTACGCTACCAGAGCTCCTTACATTCTACTATAAGTGTGTGTGTGTGTGTGTGTGTGTGTGTGTATATATATATATATATATAAGCTATGATTTATATAGAGCTTTATTATTTTTAAAGGGCTCTTGAGTGATACAAATGGTTTGCACTAGACTACTAACTAAATCCCATCACTCGTCTGTTAGTTTGTTAGACTATGGTGGCTTGTGGTCATATTGTGATTCTGGAAGTTATGCCACCAGTATTTTACACATCATCTGGGATGCCCATGCTAGATTGTTTTCAACTGAGCTTATAGACTAAGACAGATTCAGAAAAAGAAGAGGCAGACTACTTGTGAATGGTCAGTCACTGAAAACCTATGAACAGCAGGGAAACATTGTCTGATACAGTGCTGGAAGATGATCTCCTCAGGCTACCTCCTTAAAGTAGAGCTGACCTTAACGCAAGGACCTACATTTGCTGATGGAGGACAACTCAAATGAGAAGAAACAGCTGCAAACATCCATTAATAATCAGAATGTGTTATGTATGAAAAATGAATCTAGGGAAATTGAAAGTCGTCAAAAACAAAATGGAATGCAAAAGAATTGATATTCTATACACTGTTGTTGTTAAGTGCAGTCAAATCAGTTCCAATCCATATATATAGAGAGAGTTTCCAAGGACTGGATGGGGAGCTTGAACCACCGACCTTGCAGTTCAAATTGACTTCGCACTCCAGCAAATAACCCACAGCACCACACCTGATATGGACTGGTATTGGCCACTTTGAATCCAATAATCATGTGATTTACTATGCTGGGAATGAAAACTAAAGAGGAATGGCTTCACATTCATCGTCAAAAAGAGCATTTCAAAAACTATCTTGAAGTGCAATGCTACTGTGATAAAGTGATATTCATATACCTACAAGGAAGATCAATTATGCAAATTTATGCACCAACTAATAAAGCTAGTGATGATGAAATTGAAGAAGTTTACCAACTTCTTCAGTCTCAAATTGATCAAATATGAAGTCAAGATGCACTGATAATTACTGGTGATTGGAAAGTGAAAGTTGGAAGCAAAGAGTAGTTGGAAAATATGGCCTTAGTGATATAAATGATGCTGGAGATCACATGGTAGGATTTTAAAAGACCAATGATTTATTCATTGTTGTAGTGCTAAATGCTGTCGAGTAGGTTCCAGCTCATAAGTGACCCTGTATAGAGTTTCTGAGGAGCGGCTGGTGGGTTTGAACCTCCAACCCGGTGGTTCAAACCAACCTTGTGATTCAGTACTGATCCTACAGCACCTTACCAGGAGAACTTAATTTACTGCAAATACCTTCTTTCAAAAAGATAAACAGTGACTATACTCATAGACCTCACCAGATAGAATACACAGGAATCAAATTGACTACATCTGTCAGAAGAGATGATAGAGAAGCTCAATATCATCCACCAAAACAAGACCAGGGAGGGACAAACTGTGGAAAAGACCATCAACTAATCATATGCAAGTTCAGACTAAATCTAAAGAAACTTAAAAGAGCTCCATAAGACCCAAAATAAAACCTTGAGTATATCCCACCTGAACTTAGAGAGAACCTCAAGAACAGATTTCATGCATTAGACACTAATAACCAAAGACTAGAAGAGATGCCATCTGACATTAAGCACATTATATATGAAGAAAGCAAAAAAGACCATTAAAAAGACAGGAAAGAAAGAGAAGACCAAAATGGATGTTAGAAGAGACAATCACAATTGCTCCTGCATGTAAAGAAGCTAATGTGACTGGAAATAATTATGAAATAAAAAATCTGAACAAAGAATTTCAAAAGGCAGCTCAAGAAGACAAAGTATTATAATGAAATGTGCAGAGACCTGGAATTAGAAAACCAATAGGGAGCAACATGCTCAGAATTCCTCAAGCTTAAACAACTGAAGAAAAAATTCAAGCCTTGGGTTGCAATATTGAAGGATTCTATTGGTAAAATATTGAGTGACACAAGAAACACCTAAAGAAGATGGAAGAAATGCACAATCACTATATCAAAAAGAATTGGTCAATGTGGAATTGTTTCAAGAGGAACCATATGATAAAGAATATATGATATTGAAGGAAAAAATCCAAGATGCATTGAAGGCATTGTTGAAAAACAAGGTCCCAGGAATTGATGGAATATCAATTGCAAAGTTTCAACAAACTGATGCAGCACTGAAGGCGCTCATTCATCCATGCCAAGAAATTAGAAGATAGCTACCTGGCCAACTGATTGGAAGAGATCCATATTTTTGCCCATTCCAAAGAAGGTGACCCAACGGAATGTGGATATCATCGAATAATATCATTAATATCACTTGCAAGTAAAATTTTGTTGAAGAAATTAAAAAACAGTTGCAGAAGTACATTGATAAGGAGTTGCCAATAATTCAGGCCAGATTCAGAAGAGGACTGGAACTAGGGAAAACACTGCTGATATCAGATGGTTCTTGGCTGAAAGCAGAGAATAACAGAAAGAAGTTTACTTGTGCTTTATTGACTATGCAAAGGCATTCAACCATGCGGATCATAGCAAATTATGAATAACCTTGAGAAGAACGGATATTCCGGAACTTTTAATTATGATAATGAGTAACCTGTACATACACAAAAGGACAGTTGTTTGAAAAGAACAAGGGGATAGTGAATGGTTTAAAATCAGGAAAGGTGTCTGACAGGGTTGTATTCTTTCATCATACTTATTCAACCTATATGCTGAAGAATTAATTCAAGAAGCTAGATTATGAAGACAAATGTGGCATCAGGATTGGAGCAAGACTCATAAATAACCTGTGATATGTAGCTGACTTAACCTTGCTTACTGGGAGTAAAGAGAACTTGAAATACTGATGAAGATCAAAGACTGCAGCCTTCATTATGGATTGCACCTCAATGTAAAGACAATGAAAACCTTCAAAACTGGACAAATAAATAACATAGTGATAAACGGAGGAAAGACTGAAGTTGTCAAGACTTCATTTGTTAGACCCATAATCAATGCTCATGCAAACAACTGTCAAGAAATCAAAGGACATATTGCATTATTCAAATATGTTGTAAAAGACCTCTTAGTCTTGGTATGGCATTGCGCGTTAATGCGCTGGACTGCAAGGTCAGTTTGAACTGCAAGGTTGGCAGTTCGAGCTCATCAGCCGCTCCTCAGAAACCCTATATAGGGTCACTATGAGTTGGAATTGACTCGATGGCACTTAACAACAACAAAGAATTAAAAAGAAAAAATATCACTTTGAGGATTAAGGTGTGCCTAACCCAAGCCATGGTATTTTCAGTAATCTCATATGCATACAAAAGTTGGACAGTGTATAAGGTAGACCACAGAAGAATCAATGCATTTGAATTACGGTGTTGGCGAAGAATAATGAAAGTACTATGCATTTCCAGAACAAATCTTTCTTGGAAGAAGTACAGCTAGAATACTCCTCAGAAGTGAGGATGGTGAGACTTCCTCAGACCGAAAAACAAATGTAAGGATGGCACATGACTGGGCAGTGTTTTGTTCTGTTGTGAGTAGGGTTGCTTTGGGTCAGAACTAACTCGATGACACTTAACAACAACTAACCAAATCAATGCCCATAGAAGCAGCAGTCAATAAATCAAATAATGTATATTGTACTGGGCAAATCCACTGCAAAAGAGCTCTATAAAGTGTTAAAGAGCAAAGATGTCATTTTGAGGATTAAGGTGCATCATATGCATGTGAAAATTGGACAATGAATACGGAAGACTGTAGACAAATCAATGCATTTGAATTATGCATTATCTGTTGTGCACAGGATCACGGAGTTGGAATGGACTCGACAGTACCTAACAACAACAACATAACAATAACTAACAAAAAGGGTGCTAGTCTGAACCTATCTAGCAGCACTGCCCCTGAAAATCCTTATGGTCTGATTCTGTAAAGATTAAACCAAGAAAACCCTACAGAGTTCTGTTCTCTGTAACACATGGGGTCAGCATGTTGTTGTTATGTGCCGTGGAGTCGGTTCCAACTCATAGCGACCCTGTACAGGGTTTCTGAGGCTATAAATCTTCATGGGAGCAGAAAGCCTCATCTTTCTCCTGTGGAACAGCTGGTAGTTTCGAACTGCTGACCCTGAGGTTAGCAGCCCAATTTGTAATCATTATGCTACCAGGTCAGCATGAGTTGGAATTGAATCTGTAGCAGATTTCATTGTTTAAAAACAGCTTCATACCACTTTGATTTTGATTGGATTAATTCAGTAAATACTTTCTAAAAGAAATATATTCTGTTGTTTCCTTCATTGTTGTTATTATTAGATGCGGTCCTGTTGGTTCTGACTCAAGTTGTTGCTGTTGTTA